TATCCACTTTGCTGCTGCAACATCGGAATTTCCCCATTGTGGGACAAATAAAGGAATATCTTATCTAATCTTATCTTATCTTACAATGCAGCCTAAATGTTTTATTCATTATTCAACATTAATAATTAAATATGTTTAATAAAGTTATTTGATTAAGAAAGAAGTACCTTTGCAAAGTCATACTGGAGCAAAATCTGCCTATTTTTATTCCAGTTAAAAGAATTCATTATGTCAGCCGCCATATAAAGTCATTATCTAATTTATTTAAATTTAATTTTGAAAGTTAAAATGCTTTTAAAACCAAACATGGTGCTAAAAGTAAAATAAAAGAGGAACAGTAACGCCTGCATGTTGTTTTGAGCAGCTGGTTGAAGCAAAGCACATCTGTACGAATGTATTATTAACAGCTTAGAGGGAAACAGACGGTATCGGATTAGTATTGGCAGGAACTCGAGGCTGCGGTATCGGACATCCCTCTCGTCTCTACCAGCTGCTAAATGCTCCTCCGTGTTCACCGGCCGGTCTCGAACAGTAAAGTTGTGTTTGTATCGCCGCCCTCTGCCGCCGCCGCCGCTGTTCTTACCCTCTTGCGTTTCTCCGGTGTCGCTGCAGCTGAACCGGAGCCTGAATGTGGCCTCTTGGTGCTCTGAGCGCCGTTGGCTTTGCTCACTTTGGAGGAAGAGGAGGATGAGGAGGACGCGGGCGGAGGGGTGCGTGCGTGGCGGGAGGACGACACGGAGGACGAAGAGTGCGACGGCCGACTGTGTGACGAGGATGAGGACGACGACGGCTTCTTCTTCTTCTTGACGGGTATCGGGGCGTCGTATGTGAGGAAGGACTCAAAGGACATGATGGGAGTCCCGAAGTCTTCTTCCTCCTCCTTGGATGGAGAGTCCTTCGGCACCCGCGGTCGCCCTGGAAACACAGCGGAGGACGCAGTGAATCATGGGAACAAAGATTCAAACAAAGATTCAAACAAAGATTCAAACAAAGATTCACCTGCCACTTATTTTCTCCATTGATTAATCGTTAAAGAATAAAAGTTGTCATAAAAACTTAAAATCACAAGTTCCCAGAGCCGAACGTGAGTCTTCAAATCGACTCTTGGTCTAATAAAAGATATTCAGTTTATTCTTTACATCAATAAACACATAAAGTTTAATGTTTAATTAATGTTAATTACAATTTGTCAAGAACTGTACTTGAGATACTTTGATTTATTTTACATTTTACCTCGTGTATATATTATATTTATGTGTTTATATGTTCTTTATATGTTATATATGTTGTATGTTGATCTAAAGTTGTAACAAAAGTAAATTCCTCTGGGATTATTAAAGTGTTTCTGATTCTGAATTGACTTTATTGTATTAGCGTTGGTGTTTAGTGTAGTTTACTTGTTTCATTGATTTAAAGGGGAATCCGACCCGACGGCAGCCGGTTATGAAGCTCGTGTAGAGGCACCAGTAATAAATTAACACTGTTTCATAACCAGATAAAAACTCTTTGTAGTACGTTGAAGTCAAACAACTGACTGTTTGTGATGTTTTATTTCAACAGAAAGTAGAAAACAGACCTGATGTTTGTGTCTTCTTGAGAACAGATCAATCGCTCGCTGCTGTTTAGGAAACATTCTGCTTTTTAAGTTATGGTTTGTTGTTTCCTGTCAGGTCCTATTTACAGTATCAGTCAGTCGCTACAGGATGTTTCTCGCTGGTTCGGCCACAACTCGTACAACAAAAACATGTTTTTTGTTGCAGAGAGCTCCACAGCTGATGGTCTAAAACCACAATCAGTATTTTGGCTTCTTTAACGATTAAAAGTTGATAAAATGCAACTGTGTATGTAAGTGTTCACGGTTTAACTCTTAACTATCACAGGCTTTTGTTTCGAGCCCTATAACTCAAATATAAGGTTTTAAACTTTGAGGGAAGAATTATTTTTAGGTTTTTGTATTCAGTGTGAATCCGAAATGTTCAATAAAAGTTGAATAAAACAACTTTCTTCCTAAAGATAGATAATTAACATATATATATATATATATTATATATATATAAAGGTTCTTTCTGAGGTAACGAAAAACAGAACGCTTCTTATTATTCAGGTGATTTTACACTAATGAAAACAAACCAATAATATTAAATTCTGCCAATAAATCCTCCAAAATGTTACAAACTGCACCTTTAAGTAGCTTTAATGATCTTCTTCCACACCGTGTGTATCAGCTCCTTGTTCCAGCTCTTTGTCGCAGCTACATAATGTTTACACAACGAAAACCATTTGAACCGAAGAGCAACCGAACAGAAAACAACAACAACTGAGCTTCCTCTACTGGTGGAGCGGGTTTATAACAGTTCACTTGTGATTAAAACGCAGTAAGTGTGGTCGTTGTTATTGTAGTCACAGAAGACAACGGAGGGATTACTGAACGGGACACGGCTTCTATTTAAAGTGACTGTTATTTCTTGCAAAACTGGGGATGTCCCAACCACCTTTCTCACTCCTGATGTTTTAAAGGGGAACTCCACCGGTTGAGGTTGCGTAACGTGTGAAAACGTTGTAATGT